TATTTTTATATTATCTCATTCTATATTATTTATAATTCATACTAATCATATTTAATTCATATTATTATTATTAGTATGAAAAGTATATGTTAATCAATCTACATAATCAAATTTAATTGATATTAATGGTAAAATATTAGAGTGAGTGATGTATAATCATTAAGTAAATGAGCGATGTACAACCATTAAGCAAGTACTTTTTGTAATCTTAATATCAATTAAAAATAGTTTTAATATTTAAAGGTTAAGTAACAATAATTTGTATAAATATAACATATATCTTAGCTTAGAAAAATAATTTTCTCATACTTAATCTTTTTGATAATAATCATTTTGATTAGTATTCTCTTACCTTTTAATTTCCTTTGACAAAATCTTCTTAGAAGTGAATTGTATTATAAGTCTTGAGTTGAAGATTTTCAGTCAAGCATTAATTACCCTTTTATTTTCTTAATTGTATTCTTTATTATTAAAAAATCTCTCATTTATAACAAGTGATGTCATTTATAATAACATAATTAACCTCTCGTTACTACTCTGCAAAGTTAATTAATATTATTTAGATTTATAATAAAGAAGAAGATAATTTTAATAAAAATTAATTAATAAAAAGAAGATTACTTAATAATTAAATTATTTTATTTAAAAGAAAATTTATGAACTCATTCTAGTAGTTTAACAAAATAAACATGTTGTTATCTACCTTTATTAAATTAATAACTCTCCTACTTAATTAAAATACATAAAAAATATATAACCTATACTTGAAAGTTAATAAACCAACAGAAATAATAACAAATTTTTGGTGCATTCTCTGTGGAAAAGAAATTTTCAACAGCATCAAACTACAGAAAAGAAATTTTCAAAGATATTAAATATAACTAACCAATCATTAAATAAATTCTTTGTGGATAAATCATCCAAATCAATAAATCAAACTGAATTCAACAAAATTAACCAGTATTAAATTAAACTGATTATTTGAAGAACTAAAAGATGAAGTTAATTAAAAGAAACTTTAATCAAAGAACAACTCAAAGAAATAAAATAACAAATAACTGAAATAATTAATGAAACTTATCAAGGAAATAAAATCAATAAATCAGTTAATCAACTTAGTGAATTACTAAACAATATTCTTATTAAAGTTAACAAGAAATACAAATATATTTGTATAATCTACAACAAAATATCACAAATATTTTAATACAAAGAAAAGCTTATTAAGACAACAAAAACTTCATAAAATATTACAAATTATGGAATTAACAATTTTATAACATAATTGTAACAATATTTTATATACTAAAACTCTCTTTTCTAATTACTATATTTTAATTCAAATTCAAATCAATTAATATACTAGCTAAAAAACTTATAGTCTAAATGACTATAACTAGTTTTATTAATCCAATGCATATTAAAAAAAATATGAAGACTTTACAGAAAGTTAGTTAAAATGATCATGAAAATCTGACAAAAATAACTCTAACTTTAACACCAACTCTGACTCTAACCCAAACTCAAACTAATCGATATACTAGCTAAAAAACTTACAGTCTAAACTGCTGTAACTTTTTGTTAATCCAATATGTATTAAAAACATATGAAAACTTCATGAAAAGTTATAAATATAGAAGTCGAAAAGAATCATCATATTGCATAATTGTTGTGTGCAGAAATATTTAAGATCAAATATATAATATTTGAAACAGTCATATTACTATACAAAGCTTCCTTTGTGATTTTTCTAAAGTATCTGAATATGGTAATTATATGGTATGTGCCACTGCTACTTTCATTAGTGTTTCAGATTTCGAAATATGATCTTGAAGAATTCAGATTTTGGTTAATAGTCCAGACTATGACGAAAGATACTAATATTGCAAAACACAATTACTTGACTTGAATGCACAATATGGAAGTTTATAACGGCATGTTAAATATTGGTACGTATACGGAATTCTAATTGGGACAATATCAATATTCAATTGCAATTACATAAACAGTTTTTATAAAAAAAGTATATACCATCCGAAATATTTATAATAAACCAGAACGAGATAAAACTTGTGTAATACATGTAACTTAAAGTCGAATATAATTTTTTTTGCATAACTCGATAGCTTTCGGTTGACCCGTTAATGCTGCCCTCTTGAGATAGTATGCACCTTTTTCCTTATCTTGAATTACTCCATTTCCATTGAAATACATGCTCCCAGCGTTATACATAGCAGTTGAGTTTCCATTGTGTGCAGATTTCAAAAAATATTCCAAGGCCAATGTTCCATTTTTTTCGATACCGTCGCCTTTCCATAGACAATGACCATATCGAAGTTGAGCCTCAGGAACATCCATCTCAGCCGCTTCTTTAAAATATTGTACAGCTCGTATTACGTCATTTTCGCGTTGCTCGAAAGTTTCTTTGTTATTTAAGCTATTATAATACAGGTAATATCCGACCCAATATTTCGCCGTGGAATCGCCCAATTTCGCATAGTCGCAAAATATTTCATATGCTTCTTTACGATCGCCACCTCTGGTTTTATGAAGATTAATGGCATCTTCAACAGTAAAAAGGGGTCTTTGATTTGACGGAAAAAGAGTATTTGGATATATATTAGGGTGATTAGTAGCTGGACGATGTGTATTGGAAAGTTCAAATAGTTCTGTAAATATAATCGCAAGAGCTGGGCGATTCATAGGATCAAAGTTTGTAGCTAATCGATAATTAAAGAAATAAATATCATTATTAATATATCAGTAATATGACAATAATAATTTTAAAATTACTTTTATAAACAATCTCTGCCCATTTATTTGGAATTTGCAATGGTAAAGAAAATGGCTCTCGTTTATTTTCAATAACCCTCTGACGAATTTCTACAATATCCCTTTCAATATTCTGAAATGGGATCCTTTGTTCAGCTATTTCCCAGAGAAGCACTCCAAAACTATAAAATAAAATTAATAGAAAAAGGTTTATTAAGAGTATTATTGATAGTCATTTGTATAATTTTTTACCTATATATCTCACACTTAAAATCATATGGATGTTTATTCTCCTTAAGTTTCTCTGGTGCTATGTATCGAACATTATCGACACCTTCACGAAGATTTCTGGTAGCTTCTCTTAAACCACGACTTAAACCGAAATTGCCGATTTTTGCTGTATACTGCGGATTGCCATTTGTAATAAAAATATTTTGACTGCGAATATCGTGATGTAGGATCTCGGCGCTTTTTAAATAAGTCAATCCTCTAGAGATATCTAAAGCGAATTGTATTTGCAGACTCCAATCCAATCTCTTAAGTTGATAGAAATCCTTTAAATTTGATTCGGTAGCCCATTCGGTTACCAGAAAAACTTTATTCGGCTCAATTATAACTCCGTAAAACACAATTATGTTCTCTGCTCCTTTCAATTTTTTAAGAATTATAACTTCTTTTTTAATATTATCTTTAGTCTCTTTATCAACTTCAACCTCTTTGAACGCGACTTCGACATTATCGTTTCTTACATATTTGCTCGCATTGTTGTATCTTACGCCGGTATATTGAAAGTTTTGGATCTGAAGAACTGCCTCATTGAGTACTTCATCAAAAAGAAC